GCAACGAAGACGCGTGGTTAAATTTCGCGTCTGATAAATTGCTAATCGTGAATGTCATCGAAAGTATGGGAGAGAGAGAGGTACGTGTGTAATTTCGACGTTTTCTAGAGGGAAAAAGGAGAGGGCATGAAGCGACGAGATACGCTGTACGATTATGGCAATTTATAATTTCATAAGATTTAAAAAAAAAAAGGTTATATTGATGATATTTGATTTGTGATTTTAAGAATTTTGTTTTCTTATTAATTAAACATTTATTATTTTATTTTATAAATAATTATTTTTATAAGTTATGTAATTAATCACTTTATTAAATGTTCATTATTTTATTAAATGAAAATTTGCAAACCATTATTGTTTTAAGTTGAAATATATTATAGTTAATAATAATTAATAATTATATTATTTAATAGATGATATAATAATTTTGTTAAAAAACATATGTTAGTATTCAGACAACACTACATATCGATTTTTAAATATTCTATTCTTAAAATATTTGAATTTTTAAATTTATTAGTTATTTAATTTGTTTATAATTATTATATTTTACAGAAATATAATTCTCTCATTGTTTAACTTATAATGCTTCTAGTATTTATTCTATAGCAATAAAACAATTTTAATTTTGTTTTTTTATTTCGAAAGAAAGAAAGGATTCAAATATTACAAAAAGAATTGTAATTAACAAACATTGTATTAAACTTATCAGATAATAAATATTCCAAATAATTATTTCGTGTGTCTGAACATTAACTTGAATAATGAATCATCGAAACGGAATATATATATTTAAAATATATATTTAACGAAGCGTCATCTTTATTTCATTTTTCAATAAACGAAGATTGCAATGTCGTACGGTGATTCTCGCGCAATATCGTTAATTGTAAAATCCACTGCGCCCAATCTAAACGTTTACCTATGAAATCGTCGTCGTGTAAGCCTTTTAACACCGTGACGAAAATGAAAACGTTACGCACATATTCGAATCGGTTATACACGATTCATCTCTAATTCTAAGAAACACGAGTACAGTTTCATCCAGGACCACAATAAATATCTCGTACTCGTCTTCGTTCGTCTGAATTTCACACTCGTAATTGTCAAGCACAAAAAAAAAAAAAAGAAAACAGTCTTTGGGATTTTTCCTGTTCAGCTGTAAGATCGCATCGTTTCAATTGTTTTTTTTTTTTTTTTTTCTAATATCTTTACGCTCTGTCGCTATTTACGATCGTTGGACTATCGAGTGGATTGGAAGCGAGGAGAAAATGTTGTTCAAATATTCTGAGAATGGTCTTTTCTTCGTGTTATCAAATGGAAGCATTCAAATGCATTTGAAAATTACTCTACAAGGAACCATTCTCAATACAATTTTCATTTGTGAAACGATATTCTCAAAAGTAACTCTCAATAGTTTTACTCCCAAATAAATTCGAAATTTAATTTGAGATTAAAACTGTCAAAAAATATTCTAAAGAGTTATTCATTTCACTAATGGATGTTGCGTTGAGAGTGAAAATTATTGTCGACTTATTGCTGTTTATTCTTGAATGTATTTACTCTCTAAAAAAAAAAAGACTCCAAGAATGTTGAAAAACTATTAGATCTTTTTTTATTATAATGTAATTTAATCCACGGTTTTCTGATATTAAAAATTTTTTCACTTGTTACAGTTTTAATCATTATTAATATTACTACTTTAAAAACTTTTCTATATTACCTAAATAAATTACCTTAACTTTCATATTATCTTCATATAATGTATTTAATTTTACAAAGTTACATTATCCTTTTTACTTCACTAAAATAATTCATTTAAAAATTAATTTTATCTCTTTTTAATTAATCAATCAGGATAATTATAATTTTAAAAAAAACCATTCTCATTCTTTCATTATTGAAAGCCAAACCCAAAAAATCGATCTTCAGAAAAAAAAAACAAACTCATCAAATTTATCCTTCTCCCTTCGCTTCTCCTCCACTCTCCATTAATTAAATATCAAGCCGTCGTTCGTCGCACACTCGCACGTATACCCTTTTTCTAATCTATTTGTAATATCTCGAATGATCGTATCAATCGCACGAATGATCTCGTTCCAGCGTCCTCGTGACGCATTTTCTTCGACGTCGTCGTTTTCTGTATAAACGGTCCCACTCGAATTCTCACGTTTCACGCGGAAGAAAAAAAAAATAAAAGAGAAAATAAGAGGAAGAAAAAAAATAATCGTGAAACGTGAATCTTGTTTTATCTCCTATTGTCGATCGATGGAAAGAGAGCGAAAAAGGGGGTGGAAGAGGACTCGATGGGATTAAAAAGAAACAAAGGGTTCGAATGGATTTGGATCGAAAAAACTTTCATTGCTGTCCTATTGTTTGCTCAATTGTATGTCGTCGCGTCTAATTGTACGATTAATACGCGGTTGTAGCCGGGTGTCGATTTTTTACTCTTATTCCCTCATCCCTTGTAATGTTAATCAATGTTTTTTAAAACCTTGGAGTTAAATAAAAGAAACATATAGAGGGAACATTGTTGTTTGACTTATTTTTCATTT